CCCCCCCATTCTTCAGGAGGCGCTCAAAGGCTTGCTCGCTTCATCCAGCACTGACCTCAAGTCTGGCATGGGAACCCTTGAGGTTTCCGGCAACAATTCGTGAGGCACCGATCTTGATGGTGGATCAGCTATGTTGCACTCTGAAGGCACTCTAGCGTACCATGGCAAAACGAACAACTCCTCTTCGACTTTGGCGAGGTGGTGCACGATGTTGCAAAGAACCGGGTTCTTGGAATACCCCTTCAAAATCAAATACCTTGCAGCTTCATTGTCAATGAAGCGCAACAAATGCTTGGACCGCACCAGGTCCTGCCACACTCGGAAAGCAACCAGGACGACAAAGGCTTCAAGTTCTCCAATCGCCTGCTCCTGATCCTCAGCCATGAAGGATTCACAAAAGTCGCGGCTTGCTTCTCCACCAAACCAGCTCACTACACAACCAGTCTGATCGATCAACACTCCACCGACACCACCCTCTTTGGCTTCACAGTCGAAGCAAGCGTCCGTGAACAAGAAGAAAACGTCTCCCACATCAGCTTTCACGAGACGAGGCTGGGCATTCAACAACCGTCCCTTGACTTGAAGCATGGCGCTCACCGTTTCATCGCTCAGTACTCCACGTTTCGGAGGGCGCAGCACATGCTGACCAAGAACGTTGATCAACCGCTTGGTCGCCCGTCCAAAAAGTTGACCTTCTGCAAATCCCAAGCGGCCTTTGAGAGAAGTTGCTTCATGAGTAGTCAACCTTCGGCTCGACAGGGCACGATCGATCTGGTTCGAGAGGTCCTGCTTCCGCTTCTCCGTGTTGCGAACCATGACTCTACCCTCTGAGGTCTCGGAAAGATCAACCATCACCCCCAGCGCGGTGATCTCGTGGCTCATGCTATCAGACTTCTCGCCACTCATGTCATATCTCCATCCCAACAGGTCCAGCAAGAGGCAGAACGACTGGTCTGTGTTCCGGGCTAAGTTGCTGGGGGCCACACAAACGTAGTCATCGAAGTAACACGTGACCATGATGCTCAAGGAGTGAGCGAGCCACTGGATCAGCCTGGCGCATCTGAGAAATCCAATCACAGACGCCTTGGCGCCGAACGGCAAAGAGTGCTGCTGAAACACCTCGGTGATCTTGAGGCTCGGGTTGTAGACGGCCAGCCGTGCCCACTTCAAAGAAGAGTCTGAGACCGCCAGCTGCCGGTATGCACTCTTCAAGTCAAAGCTTCTGCCAAGCAACTCGGGGTTCACAGACTTGACCTCGCACAGGCGCATGTACTCGGCAATCATGGCAGCGATGCAATCCGTTCCGTCCACCGTGCACTTGCTTGTGACGTTGACGGCATCATTGACTTGGCTCTCAGAGTAGTTGTCGATGGGTCGAACTTTGCCTCCTTGAACGACTGCGAACCTCCGAGACAAACGGCCATGGGGCACCTCAGAGAGTGGAAGGCGTGAGAGCCAGCCCTTTTCCACCTCTTCGCAAGTCTTCTTCCATAGTTCTTCGTCGACCTCACTGTCGCCACTGGACTTGGTGGAATGAAAGATGGCCTCGTTGCTACTTTTGGCATGGTCGGCAAGGTCCTGGATGGACATGGTCGCTGGCTCAAAATCTCTGGGCAGAACGAGCCCTCCTCCTGCCTCGCCAACCAAATCAAACCCCTTCTCGATGAGATCCACAATGCCGGGGTCCGGGTAGTTCATGTCCTCAATGATCTCCCTGAGCAACAGGATCCTTTTTCCTTCGAGGATCTGTCTTCTATGGCTAGGCATCTTCTTGTGCAGGTCTGCTTCTTGTTTTCTGAGCTCCAGCGCTCTACGAGTCCATTTCTTGAACCATGCTGCTCTGTCGGTCACGATCTTTTCGGGCTTTTCGTTCACATTGCTACGAATGGCATTGGAGAGGTTGGAGTGCAAACTCTCGAACAAGTGCACTGGGTGCCCCCTGAGTAGCGCTTCTTTGATGAATGCTTCTTCACTCCATGGAACGCCAAATGCCACTTCAAACATGGTTGCCTTCTCACTGCTCTTCCCCCCGTCTTGGTGAGAAGGGATCTGGGAGATGCGGAGGATGCGGGCATATGCTGGCAGGGTGGCATCGTCGGCACCAAGGGTGGTGGGCAACTTGGAGCCAACACGAAACTTTGGTGCTCTCTGGAAGTGTGCTGTTTCGACATGGCTGTAGTCTTGCATAAATGCCAGGGACTTACGAGTTTGTTTGACTGTACTTGCCCTGGCTTTCTTGTCGGGGTGTGCCGGCAGGACGGACTGCTCAAGGTCGAACTGTTTGGAGATGCTTCGGAAAACGGCCGCTGCCCAAGCTTTGCATAACTCCAACGGGTATTCAACCTCCGCAGCTGTCGCGAACCCTGTTTTTGTTCGGCCCCATGGCAAATGTTTGTGATTGCCAGCGCAGTCACAAGCCAACTCCTGCAACTCTTTGATGTCGGTGGCGATCGCAGTTCTTTTGGGTCGGCTCCCACCGTACATGCAGGCACTGAACACGACATAGATGGGCGTGAGACGCTGCAAAACCATTCTCCAAAATTTTGTCAGCCAGAAAATGGACCGCTCTGGTTGTTCTAGCGACCATCTGATGTTGTTGAAGTGGCAGAACAAAATCAAGCGACAACAGACCTCGTACACTTTGTTTGCTAGCCGAACTCGTTCTGCATCGTCTCCTGTCAGCCATGGGAGACCTTCAGGGTATGCATCATTCCTCAAGGGCTGTGGCTGATATTCGCCATCGTTGAGGTCGATCTCGCGAGCCCGAGATGCAGTACCGCAAGGGATGCCCCAGTGCGCGTAAGCACAGAGTGGATTCGACAACCAGCTCTTGGCAAGTGCTTCGCCATGTGGAGTTGTGAGGTCAACCTTGACGATGGGACACTTGGACCTTGGTTTCACGACTCGATCGACTCCATAGCTGGAGGTCAAGCCAAGCGCTCGCAGTTGGGCCGTTAGGCCACCTGTACCGGAGCAAAATTCGATGCAGAACGGCCTGGTCTCTTGTATCTCGCCACCTTGTATAGGAACTGTCTGGTGGTGGCTGCCATCATGTTCTTCTTTGTGAAACTCTGCTGATCCTCTGCTTTCGAAACTGCTTTGACAGACATCTGCAGCGGAGGATGAGATCTGTGCTCCTTGTTGATCTTCGTCAGCAGGAGAAGCTTTGCATTGAATTCTCGGGACGACATCATGCTTGGGCTCGTCCCCAGCCCACCCCTTCTGTCACTTCTTGGGGCACGAGTAGTGGGGGTGGTTGCCAAAGCACCCCTTCGTGGCACACACGTGCACGCCCTTTTCGCACGAGTCACCTGCTGCTGCCTTGTCACAACCATCGATGTTGTAGGCGAAGC